TTTTTTTTTTCAATTCTCAAATGCCGGTCAATTTTTTGTATCGCCTGGTTCAATCAGAATGAAAAAAATCACATTCTTTAACATCCAAATCACGCTTGGCGAATAATACACGCAAGTGTCATCTAATTTGGAATTGAACAGAATTGAGTGGAATTGAATGGAATTGAAAGAATTTAATCTAGTACTGCTTCGCCCCTTGTCCTAATCAGACATTTATTTGATCGATTTTTTTTAAACACATTTTCTTTCACTTAATTGCTAATGAAAAAATAGTATTCTCCATACATCATTGTTGGTGACGCTGTTCGCAATCATATTTATTGTTCATTTTCTTAATCGTTTTTCTTATTATATTGTTTTGTTCATATACATTGGTTTTGGCTGAATAAGACAAAAAAGAGAAAATTGTCGAATAAAAATGGTTTAACTTAAAAAAAGGAGCTTTGAAATATAATAATAAATTTATTGGTACCTAACTAAATTATAAAACATGATTTTAATTTTATTCATTATAACAATTGAAAAAAAAGTAAACAAAAATTGGAATCGAAGTGTTATTTTATTTGTTCTTACAATGAAATGACATTTATTTCGAACGATTCGAAATTAGTAGTCGATTCGATTCTTTTGGCATCATTCATGTTTCATTCAAATTTCTGTATATAGGAAACTATCGAGAAGATGCGCGACTGAGAGCATATTATAATCACATTAAGAATTTGCGATTCAACGCAAAAGAAATTCAATTTTCAGCAAAATGAAATGAACGAACAACATAACACCCTCAATCAAATGGCATTCAAGCTGTTCGAATTATACAGCCAAAAGTGTACCTAAACCTAATTTTACTAGCCTAAATATTTTCTTGCTTTTGTTCTTGACACAAAATTTTGCGTTTGTTCGCTCGTGGCGTGTATATTCGGGGCGTCATTATAATTTCATGTACTTTTTTTCACGATGTTCGTTCCATTTACTTGGATTTCTTTTACTCTTGATTCTTTTGACAAAGAAAAATCACCAAATTCTTCTTTCCTTTTTAAAGCATTAAATTAAAGATTTTGATGAAGAAAAAAAATGTACATGTATTCCCAAGTTTCCTTGTTAAAATTAAAATAAATAGGTATAAACAGAGATTTCAAGCTAGTTTTTCTCTCAACATTTTCGCTTTTTCGGTATTGAAAAAAATAGAGTATGTAAATTAAAGTGGTTTAGGGTTAACAAAACAGTTGTTCAGAAAAATAACTGAAAAGCATACTAAAATTACGTTTCCTGCGTTCCTTTTACATAAATCTAACCTAAGAAAAAAAATATTTGCGCTAGATTCGTGCACTTGATTTGCTCGTTTGCACCATTGCACCAGCGATATAACATTAAGATCGCACATTTTTTTTTACAAAAAAGTCCGAAAAATTGCTTTTGCAAAGTGAGAGTTAACAGCAACTGTTATTATAGTCATTTTCGAACCCTTTTGGATTAATACAGAGAAAATATGCTATTTTCGTGACATTCAAAGCAAATTGTGTGTTTTTTCGTTTTCAAACAAAAAAAAATGGTTAAAGTAGAGCAATAGATTTTGATGTGGTCGGTTTTGCTGGATTGACTGTTCTTCGATTTATGACGAGATTCATAAAAATGGGTTTGTGGTAGCATTTAATACTGGTGCCTGTAACGAAACGATCAAATTTATTAAATTTTGATCAAACATTAAGAAAATGGCTGTGAATACTCTTACCGCGAATGGATTCTTTTGTGGAAAGCCATTTGTCATGTTCATCGTTCCGTTGAACATGTTAGTTTCGGTAACCTTTGGGTAATGTAATCCATTGCCGTTGAATGCAGAACCATTCAGGCCAAACGATGAACTATCGTACAATCCATTACTATTTGTTCTCGGATACAGTGGCTGCTGAACTGGTGTTGATAGGCCTTGTTGTTGCTGCTGCTGCTGCTGTTGTTCGCCAAACCAAAGTGGTGACGACGTTGTTTGAAATGGATTTGGTTGCGTTGCCGTTGCCGTGGGTGAGGACAAAATAACATTGAATGGATTTGCTGATGCAGCAGCTGATAGAGTATTTTGATTTTGGTTATCTTTCCCCTTTATTTCACGCAATTGTTCATCCAGATCCTTGAGAGCCGCGTATCGATCCACAGACGGTGTTGAATTTATGGATGAATTGGAATTAAATGTACCACTTGATTTCAACGAATTACTGGTTGAGCTCAATGACATCGGAAGACCTGTAAAATGGACAAATTTGATTTAGTAATCGGCTCATAATGGATTGTTTTATTGGTTAAAATAAAATTCCAAATCAAACTACGAAAAAAAAAAAATTCGAATACAAAAAATCCGTGATACGAGTTGACTCTAGTCGGTCGCTTTAAGACAATGGATAACAACAACAATGTTTTTTTTTATAAAAAAAATACATTTCTCTTTGTTGAGAAGCATGCAACGACTGTAAGTGAACGCAAGAGTGAAGATAATAATGAAAAAACCAACAACAAAAACAGCAAACAAACAAAATTATTATGTCACCCAGCAAAATAAAATGCGTTTAACAAATCGAAATGAAAAGCAAAAAAAAAAAAATTAAGAAATTAAAATAAAAAAATCGACTTGAAAAGGGAAAAAACTCAACATCTATGGGCATAACATCAACATTATGTGAAGCGAGAATCGCCAAATGAAATACACTTACTCCATCGATTTTGTTCTGGCTGAATGTATGGCCATGGAAACTGTTGCCAAACACTCCATTGAGTATATGCATTACCATTGTTCGAATTGGTGCTATTGTTATTGTAACTAAAACTATTGAAGTAATTGCTGTTTTGATTCTCAATGGCTGAATTATATGCATACATTAAGTATATCGTTTCAATTCGTCATCGATTTCGATGTATGTAGAAAACATTGTACGTACATTAAAACGTCCAAAATGAAAAAAAATGAGAATAAAATTTAAATTGGAATACATATTCATAATACAAGAGAAAATAAAAGTTGTGTGTGCTTGTGTCAACGACTAAAGAGCTTTGGATTTTGGGCACGAAGTCACGTACAGAAGAAATGTGTCACCAACTCATACAAATAAATTGTATGTGTGGTTGCGGGTCATTTACATTTTACTATTTATATGGAAGTAGTAAGTTTTTGTACGTGTATCTTTTTCAATTTCCATTTGTCATGGGACATTGCACGAAAGACGAACACCAAATGAATCGAATTATGTATCTCTCACCTGCTGCATTGTAAATGGTATTGTGTTCAAAATCTGCAAAGTTTTCGTCGGCACTTTTATTTAGATTAGTCGTTGCATTACCATTCGTTTGATTGCCATTAGTTAGTTGAACGCCATTCGAGTGATTGAATCCATTTGAATTTCCTTGTAAAAGGATTGTTTTATTGTTTGTGCTATTATTATTAATGGATGGTTTGTTATTCAAGGCATCAAATATATTGGCCGAACCAAAATCAGCCACAAAATCCGTGTCGGGTGTGAAAAGATTGTTGTTTTCGGTATTGGAACCTGAAATTCAGTTGAAAAATCATTTATTTTTTATTATAAATATTCGTTTTTCTTTTACTACAATAATTATTACCATTTAAATTGAATCCATTGGTTACAGCGGTGCCGTTGTTGTTGTTGCTTAAGCCATTTGAGCGATTGCCATTGGTGGTGACAGGGGCGGAGATGTGATTGTTGAACAAACTGTTATTATCGTTTGTTGAAAATAAATCCATTTTCCATCGGCTATTCGATGTTTTACCATTTGTATTTGTATTTGATGTCCATAAATGGCTGTTATTTTCTTCAATTGATTTCGCCGTTCCGTTTGTTAATAGCGTTGCGCTGTTTAATTGCATTTGCTGCTGTTGCTGTTGTTTATTTTGCGAGGGCGCTAATTGAGCTGTATTTGTAATCGATTTTAGCGGACTGGCCGGTTCCAAGTAATAGCTGTTAAGACATGCGTAAATATATATATATGTGTGTAAATAAAATTTTGTTGTTTTTCTTTTCTTTTCGTTAAAGCAGTATAATTTATAATCAAAGTCAGTCAAAGTGAAAATGAAGGTAAACATTTAACGGAGAGAGAGAGAGAAAAAAAAGGAAAATTACCGCTTTCGTTCATATTTGTCGATCATCAATTCGCGTTGTTCTTGCGTATGAACTCTCTTTGGATCCCATAGACCGAGCCAGGTTTTAGCACACAATTCATTCCCATGCGCTTTGATGAAATCTATTTCCTCCGTTGTGAATGTAGCCATCGAAATCGATTTCACTCGATGCGGTGGCGTCAAACCTCGTCTGAAATTAAAAGAAAAAAAATAGTGAAATTAAACAAATAACAAATAAATGAGCGAAACCATTTAATTTGCAGACAAAAGACAACTATCCCATTAAAACGAATGACAATTAAACGAATATGCCAATAAACATTAACGGATTTTGCACTTGGAACACGATTTAGACACCACATTTAACGTAACGTAAATACATTGTATTCAAAAGGTTAAATGGTGATGAATGGAAAAACAACGAAATGTAAGTGAATGTTTTTTTTTTCAAGTTGGCGCTGAAGCATTTCTTCGATACTTTTTTTATTATTATTCAACGTTTGTTTTTTGGGAGTGGTAATCTCTCTTCAGATTATTTGCGATTCGTGTTATTTTTTTATTGTAACATCTATTCCGGTTTCAAATCTAAATATTGCCTGGCTACGTCATTGGATTCAATTCAAGTAGTCATCTTGGAACCAAATGCACACTAATTCTCTATGAATGACATTTAAGTGTTTTAACTTTAGAATGCATTATGTATTAGACATTTTCGAAACTAAAATATCGTAAATAAAAAGAAACGTCGGAAATTTTATGGCTATAGCTGTATCACAACTTGATAATCGTATGTGTGAACCACGGCACTCGTTCATCTTTTTTATGGATTTTATTAATAGGTTTTAATATCAACTGAAATATAATGGAATCACAAATCTTCATTTTCGAAACAAAATCGTTTTCGATTAATGATGATTTACGATTTTTAATCGCACATCCGAAAAAAAAAACATTTTATGAAATGAAAGCGAAAGGATGATGTACCTTATGGAAGTTGTTTATTTGAAAAATGCATGCAATAAATGATTCTTTTTTGTTCGACGAAAAAAAAATCGAATGTTTTTTCCTAATTTTGATGGAATTTTATCATATGCAACATAAATATGCGGTATTTCAACTTCGTACCGTGATGATTCATAGGTGAGTTGTTTTTCTCATTCATTCTTTGTTAAATGTTTATTTCGCTCATAAGGAAAATACAACGAGTGAAACTGTTGTAAGATAACCTGCATAGAAAACTAGATAGAAAAGCATACCTACACACACCTATACGATTACAAAGCAGCAAATCGTGAGAGAGAGAGAGAGAGAGAGAGAGAGAGAGAGAGAAAAAACCTTTTGAAACAGTGCTCCGCTTGAAGTTTATTCATTCGATTTCGATGGCAATGAGTGATTCGATGATACTAATGGTAAGAAATGCTCTGAGCTCACATATGGCGCTCTCGAAGCGTGAAGATTGTGTGTTTTTTCTGCATTTTCTTTCGATGAATCATAATGCAAGCTTTAAGTAGTAAGGTGAAAAAGTGAGAGAGAAAAAAAAAGCAACATAAAGGTAAAGAATACACATTGTTGTAATTGCGATGCGGTCTAATTTTTTATGATGATATTTACCGTCGTATATGCTTTTAGGCGAAAAAGAAATGTATTGCAATAAATTGAACAAGAGAAAAAAAAGGTAGAAGAATGAAAGAAAAAATAGAAATTTTGCGTTTCAAGCCAAGAGGAAATCACAAGAAAAATATGAAAAATATCGTTGATTCATTCCCATGAATCACATGTCAGATTGAATGCATGAAAGATTTGGCAGCTATAACAACGTCAGTTAGCAACTCTCGTTAGGCATTCCAACGAATTTTTGGCTTTCTCCATTAACCAATTTCATGTGATAGTTTTTTTTTTTTTAGTTTTACACAAATTTTATTTCAGACATTGTGTTCACGCTCAGACGGAATTTTTGCCATTCGAATATTTGTGAACTTTCAACTCAAATGTGAACCGAGATGTGAGCCAAATTGAATGGTTACGTATTCCGTAATCAATAATGGCACCATTGAGAAATTGATTGAGCAAATGCGCAAATTTATTTCAATGCATTCATTTTGTACACGTGCACACCATCGTGATCGCATATACACTATCCATATTGTTGCGGTCGGTAATAATTGTTTGGCAAAAGTGACCTATCAATTCTATTGATCTTTTCACCCGGCATTTTCTGTCTGTGTATACCTCTCGCTTTCGCTTTTTTGCTCTGTATCTCTCTTTTTCTGTTTCTCTTTATTGCCTTCGTTAAATGATATAATCGATATGCTTGCTACTGTAACTGCAAGAGAGCGTTGGATCTCGATTTTTTAGTTCGTTTTCCATTGGGTTCTCATCAATATTGAAATAGTGATTGCGTCAATTTTTCATTCGTGTCATTGATTGAGTTGGTGTTAACCATATTGTCACACGCCTATTCACGTACGAAGGCAATGGACGAAAGGAAAAAAAAGAACGCCATACATCGCATCGCATGACAATTGTCGCTGTTGTTGTACACAAGATAAAGGAACCAGTCAAACAAAGTGCACCAAGTCCAATGACTTCAATTGGAATGTTTCAATGCGCAATCCGAAACAAGTGAAATAATCTCAAGTGACAATAAATATTCTTTTTTTCTTGTTAATGTAATAACAAACCAAAGTGGTTACAATGTATTTCATCACGAAAATTTTGCTCGATAATAGTTTTACAGTGCAGCTAATGGTGCGTCTTAATAAAAAGTACCGTTTGTGCATGTGAGTGTTTGACTGGTCGTAAGAAATTCAATTAGGTATGATGTTGTTTTTTATCGACACTTCTCGTTCAAATGTAGAGAGAGACATTTTCTAAATTGAATAAGATTCGAACCGCATATTTTACTGCAAACTGCCTTTGTGCAAAGAATGGAGAATGTAATAAACGTTAGTTGAGCACCGTGTTAAAGTCAAAGAGAATAGATGTTCAGCGACACAAAAAAAAAACCGAGTAAATAGCGTATTCGAGCCATAACACGTAGGTTGTAAGCGGTCTGTTCAAACGCATTGTGTCACACTGGACGTGTTTCAATTTCATTTCAAGTCGGCCTTTTCAAGATCTAAATGACTTCAACTCTTACAAAATCACATTCACACAAGATGATACAAAACAACGGTTTTATTCAGCAGCGCAAACAATTCTAATAACAAAATTAGACGCCATTGCTATTTAGATCGTCTTCTATTCGCTTGCGTAAAATTGAGATAAAACTCATGGGCTCGGCGGAGAAATCAAGTCAACATGGACTGGGGTTCATAGATGAAATTAAATTTTATTATTGAATTTCTTTTATTCATCATCAATTGAAAGAGCGGCGCATCTACTCAAGTTGAGAATAAGACGTAATAAGAATTGAACGCTTCAGTGTTTTTGAGGGTTTGGTTTTGTTGTTATTTAATTACATAAAATTGTTTATAATGCGGCAATTTTAACGCATCACAGCACCTTTTTCTTCTTTCAACTGAATTTTGACGACGTTTTGCGTGCTCATCACCAGCACACATTCTTTTTATGTCAGTCTTAAGGTGTTTGTCGTTGCTGATATGCCTCTGTGTGTGTGTTTGTTTGTTTTTCTGCTTCGTTTTTTCATGCTAAAATTCTCCGATGTACATTTTGGCTCACACCGTATTTGCACGTTTCACATCGTCGCTTATGGCAACTGGTAATGATGTCATTGGTTTTTTTTTGCTGCTGCATATTATTTAGAATACACCAAGACATATAGCATAGTTGATACTATTGAATACACCGTTTCTTTACATATTACATTAGCGATATAGTATGCACTTGCGAGACACACGTCATAAAACCTCGATTTATTCTGCATACAAAAGTAATGTGTTTGAAATTCAAATGCGGAAAGAAAATGAACAACGAAAAAACACACAAAGTCAAAAAAATATATTTTTTCTCTCTCCCTCTTGCGCTACATTAATATGTAATAGCTGAAAAGCTACAATATATACATCTGATAGAATTGTTCACATGCAAATTATACATATCATACTCAAGAGTTTAAGTGAGCACAAAACATAAACCCACACCGTCAACGTAAATTAAACCGCACAGCTGCTTATTTTTCTCCGCAAAAAAAAAACGTTCGTTATTTTGTTTGAACTTTTTTTTCGCTCTTTTCTCTATCTCTCTCTGTGTCTCTGTCTCTCGGTCTCTCTATCTATTTTACCTCTTTTTATTTTGGTTTGTAAAAGCGGCTGTTTATACAATTGTGTTGTTTGGCCAACAAAAAGCGAATAAAAGAGAGTTTATTGCACCATCATCAGTAAAACATCAAGAACAGTAACAGAAGGCATCGTTTCCGGTTGTTGAATGATGTGTAACTGACGCTTTTTCATGGCTTTTTTTTGCTCTCTTAAACAATTTTTTATTCTGTCTGCTCAATTTCATACATTTTGAATTTGCTGAGCCAAAAATATGAATCACGAAACCTTTCCAATTTGGTGCCGATCAATTTTCATTGGGCAATTCTTGGTCATACTCAAAGTGAGAGCACAAAGATGGAGTAAGAGAGAGAACATGACAGAAAGAACGAGAATGAACGTGAGAGGGAGAGAGTATAAAAATGAATGATGACCATGATGAGACAATGGAAATTCGATAGATTAATTGCTACGCAAGCGACGATAAGGCAATGCAAAAAAATATGGTGTGTTAAATATGCCAATCGATATGACCCAATACGCCTGTCATTCACGAGCTACCACACCGAGCTCATATATGCCCATTATGCTTTTGATCTTTCATTAAATTGCAAATAAGTAATAAAAAAAACAGTTTCAACGGTGATCGGATAACATTGTTCTACGCACACGATGTATACATGAATAAAGTGCCGTTGAGCAATGTCATCGATGATATATTTTCATAATAAATATTTATAGATTAAAATCGTGGAGTAGATGCCAATAAATCATCATTATTTAGCATTTCAGCGATGTTAAAATCGAAGCGTAGAGAAAGAGAGAAAATTATTACGAAGAGAAATGTAGAATATTTCAACTGATGAGCATAAGTCTGTTTTATACACACAGACACCTGTTTCATTTGACGATGTTCTTCGTGTGTAAAAATTGTCGGTTAGTGAGTACTAAACTTAGCTTACATCAGCTGTTT